TAAGCATAAAACATAATATATATATTAAAAATCGGAAAACGTATATATACTGAAACTAAGAAACATTTTGTTCTTGTCATTTCTAGCAACTGATCCCTGCAGTCCAAATCCTTGTCAAAATAATCAGACATGTAAAGCAAAATCAGGAGGTAAATTTAGATGCAGTTGCAAATTGCCATTCAAAGGAGATCTTTGCGAAAAATGTAAGTAGATGTATTTCAAGTGTCTTAAAATGCTTATTGAAATATTTATTAAGAATGTGATATTTTTACAATATAAATTTTTTAACAGCTCCTTGTAATCCAAATCCATGCAAAAATGACGGAAATTGCAGCATTTCTTATCTTAGTGCAAAATGTAGTTGCTTGCCGGGATATAAGGGAGACATATGTACTGTAGGTAATTTAAAGTATATTCTCTTTTTTCTGGTTCAATAATATGGATTGTTGGTGCGTGGCATGTTAAAAACTCTCTTTTGCTCTAAAGCAGACATCTCTCTCTCTCTCGGTATTTCGATCTTGATAAAACTTAAAAGGAATCATAATTAACGTAGATTTATTATTGTTTTTATTTGCAGAAATAGTGCACCGAAAAAATTTAATGTTTGAATTTAACTGCTTATAAACTTTACGTAATACTTAAATAAGCACAAAACATAATCATAAACATTTAACTAATGTATGATCAGTGCAATTTTAAATACTACGAAACATTATTCATATTCATTTTTATTTCGTTTTATTTTATTTTATGGGAGAGAAAAAAAAGCTTATGAAAAATTTTCTTCGANAGAAAACAGTCGGCAAAGAATTCTGTTAGGTTAAAAAACATTTCGCTAAAAAAATAACGAATTCTAAAAGATATAAAAATAAACAACTTACAAAATAAAAGTGCTGTTGCCAGCCATAGAATTTTTTGAAAGTTAACTTAGCAACATAAATCAAAATGACGTCGAAGCGCAACTAGATCAAAATTATGATACCTGAGCGCTTGACGTAACAAATCCTTCAATTCTAAAAGTGTTGTATCGCCAAATGCCCAAATTAAAAATTGTGCTTTTAAAGAAATTATATAAAAAGTTTTAAATAAGGAACCTACTTCTACGACTGCTTCATGAAGAACTTGGCTCATTGATTAAAAATATTGTTTTAATTTTACAGTACTAACTTTACTTCTACTTTCGTTATTGCTATGACCCTCTTTCATTACATTTTCAACTTCATGCTAAATTTGAGGACTTTAAGTTGTTTAGTGGTTGAATACTGACATTTAGAAATGTGTACATTAAATAAATAATAGTTAGAGGTTAAGAGTTGCCACAGAAAAATTTGAATTGCTGATATTGAATTTAACAATGGAAACAATCGTTTTTGTGAAAAATTGAATTGTATTGTTGACATCAAAACTAAACATTTTGTGTTTCAACTTAACAATACTACCTTAATTTACACTTTAGAATTGCCTCGGATAAATTTGAATTGTTAGCAATGACTTAAACAAAAAGATTTATTTTAACTGACTTATACTTTATTATAATTTTAACTTTTTCTATGACTATACTCATTTTCTTACTCTTTTCTTTGTTTTTTAAACATTTTATATTTTTGTGATAAAATAAAAAACTTACAGTTGTTCTGCTTCTGAACACTGATGAAAACACAAAATGATGGCTTCATCAACAATCAAAAATATATACATTTATTTTACAAATTCCATATTATTAGGGTGGCGCCCTTCAGAGAATTAAAAATACAAAATTATCTTTATCAGAGCCGATGCTTTACATCCGGCATTCAGTGACAGACTACTATTTCATATTGTTTTACAACACATGTGTTTAGCCCTCTGGCGGCAAAGACTTTAAACCAAAATTTACAACAGTTGCTTTTCTCAACAACTGAAATTTAGAATATAGAAATTCCGAATATAGAAATTTAGAATAAGAAAAATATGTGAACTGTTTGCAATTTCAAATTAATATTGAAATGTACAGGTTTAGAATTTTCTACAGTGAAAAGTTTTCGGAACTTCAGTATTCAAAAAAGTATACAAAAGCTAGACGTTAAGAACGTATCCAATGAGCAAGCAAAGCGAGCATTGGATTGCGAAGCAATCCGAAATGAACTGTGAAAGCAGTTCCGGGGGTTGGCGAGCGCTAGCGAGCAGGGGGCAAAGCCCCCTAGTTTATAGCATATTCTCTTTTTTCTGGTTTAATAATAGGGATTGTTGGTACGTGGCATGTTAAAAACTCTCTTTTGCTTCAAAGCAGACGCTTCTCTCTCTCAGTATTTCGATCTGGATAAAACTTAAATGGAATCATAATTAACGTAGATTTATTATTGTTTTTATTTGCAGAAATAGTGCACCAAAAAATGTAATGTTTGAACTTAACTACTTATAAACTTTACGTAATACTTAAATAAGCATAAAACATAATCATAAACATTTAACTAATGTATGATCAGTGCAATTTTAAATACTACGAAACATTATTCATATTCATTTTTATTTCGTTTTATTTTATTTTATGGGAGAGAAAAAAAAGCTTATGAAAAATTTTCTTCGAATTTTAATATATTTTTCCACACAATTCATATTCAGCAAACTTAGTAAAAAACATTCGAGAGGACAAAACATTTGTCTACATGCTGTAAAAAATATAAGGTGAAGTCAGATAAAGAATATCATTGAAGAAATATGGTAATCATTTCCAAATTATGCCAAATTTATCAAATATATTATTTCTCTGCAAAAAAAATAATGTAAAGCTTTGAACTTTGAAACTTTGAAGGAAAACGAAACTGTAAGCTGAAACATAAGAAAAAAATTTTTAAAGAAAAAATTAAAAAAAAAATTAAGAGAAGTATTGTACATATCTAAGCATTTTTTTCCTAATAACACCAGTTTTCGATAGAAGCTAAGCTTATCGTGAGATCTTTTAAAATCTTATATTTATAAAATTCATGTCTTATTTCTTTTGTCATTTATTAAGTGACAAATGTCTATTAATTCTTTAATTAGTTTTCTTCAATTTGCAGGTTTAGTTTTACTTTAATATTATCATTTTATATCTTCTGTTGACATGTTAAGTTCTATGATTTGATCTCGTTTACCACTCAGAAAATATGAAAAAGAATTTTTAGAAAGAGATGTATATTTCCGGAAGTAGTATGTAGAGTAAGAAAAATTAAAAATGGATCATGCTTATAACTTTTGAACGCTTAGACAGATTTTTATTTTATGAAGTGTTGTGGCGACATCTCAAAGAAATACCTCTAATTATATGAAACAGTTAACTGTAACCATGGCGAAATATATTTATTATGCTTATTCTATTTCTGAAGAAACATACAGAATTTTGTTGTATTTGGTTTAACGTTCAAAAATAACCCCTGGTAACAAATTTTATAATGTTCTGTCTATTAGGGGTCAAACAAAGACAAATTACCATTTGGCTAAAAAAAAATGAAAAAAATGGGGTATCGCCAATATTTAGCATTAGTTACAACGTATTCACGTAACATATCAGCAGGGAATCATGCTGCCTTTAGGTAATTCATTGCGTAAACACGACACACACGGATAATTAAATCTGACCCAAAACCTGGTATTTACAATTTTCTTTTTTGTCTTAAAAGAAGTACTTCTGAAGACAAAAATTAAATTTACCACAGTTGCTCCCTCATTCAACTAAGGTTGAATTATTAAAAGAATTAAAAACTGCTAGTTTAATTATTTCAGGATTATCTCTTATCATTCAAAATGAAAAGCGCAAAATTATATATTGTGTGAGGACCACGATATATAATTAATATAAAGATGATGTGTAATGATGTTTTTTTTTTACTTTTTCAGGAGTAAATGGTAACTTACATAATCATGAATTAATATAGTCATATATTATCATTTATTTCATCAATCACTTTTTATATCTCTTGAGGGAAGAAAAATGGTGGGCTTATAAGCTTGTAACTTATTTTTCCTGTTTTTTTTTTTTTTTTTTTTTTTTTTTTTTTTTTAATTTTTTTTTCCGGTGTCCTGGGAGAGGTAGGTTTCTTTCAGACAAAATTTCTAATTTCTACGCAGATTATAATAGATAACAACTCCCAATTAATAAAGTTAGTGAGGATGAGCTATAAAAAATCATTCAAAGCTTCTTATGATAAAATAGCTTCAAAGCTTGTTATGAAATTTTAATATTTAGAAGCTGGATAAAGTTTAAGAAAATTAAAAACTAATATAACTTTTTGCAGTATAATATTAGTTTCTCGTTTTTTAATGAGAACTGTATGAATACATCAACTAAATCAAAGGTTGAAATTGAATCATTAATGAGTGGCTGAATATTTGGTAATTGACCGAAATACTGTCCCCCAAAGAACACTTTTACCAGATTGCAGCAAAGAAGCTACAGTCAAGGAGACACGTTTGTGAAGCCGCATGTATGTCGATGCGTGGCTCTTAAAAAGGTTACTGTGTCTGCCTTTTGGGATACCACATTTTGACGTCACGATGACGTCAATATGATACCCCAATCAGACATTTATTCATCGCAGCGACGTCACCTCCTGACGAGAAAATGACAAATCCATGTCTCAACTGAGATGCTGTGATACGTAAGATATGACATATTCACGTCTCAACTGGGTCACCATGTGACAAACATGTGACTTATTCACGTCTCAACAAAGTCCCGATGTGACGAAATTGTGGCATTTATGTCTCAATAGACTCAATGTATTATTAAGCTGAGATGTGATTTCGTCACATTCTTGTTACACGGTGACGTCACTGCAACAGTTATATGTCTCATTGTGGTCATATATATATAAAACGTCGGACGACGGACGAATGCTTAGGTTCTAAAAAAATTTAAGAAATTAAAAACAGAAAATTCTTAATGATTAAACATAATTATCTTTCACCGTTATTAATTTTTTTTAAATTTCTTTTATGTAATCGTAACGTCTGCAAAAATGGTGGTACCTGTAAAGTAGTAAACAACCAGATCAGCTGCGGTTGTGTTTTTCCTTACAGTGGTCCGTACTGTGAAACTAAAAAGGGTAAATCGTAGTTTCATACAAATATTTTCAAATACGATTAACAGTTAAGCATAATATATTCTCGTGTACATGGTTTTTAAATGTTGGCAAAATTACCAAAAATTCTGAAAGCTTTAATTTGACAGAGATGTCAGCTGCTCCGGATTCGAAGAAAAAATATTTTAAACTTCTTCAAATCCTTAATTATTAGTTTTCTTACTTTTTTTAATTTGTATTAATCAATTCTTACATTGTTATTACAACTATATATATCTTTTACTAGAAAAACCATACGTCAAATTTAATTAGTTTGTGCAGCATGTTTTGTTATTTTTAGACCTATTCCGTTGTCTCGTTTTGGACAATGTTTTGTGTCCCAGTTTTATTCACAAACTGTTTAAGAGACTATAATAAGCTCTAAAAATTAATTTTGTATCTTGGTGTTAATGTAGGACCATGTTCATCTAATCCTTGCCAAAATGGAGGAACATGTAAAGAAAACCACATTTCGTTTAACTGCATCTGCCTACCTCAATACACAGGAAATAATTGCGAATTGAAAGGTAAAAGATCTCAGATTTACATTCTTTAAATTGTATATTTTCAAAATGATTAAGTAAGATTTTTATGTATTTATTTATACACTGTTAAATCAATGATTCACAATATTTGAACATTGAAATTCTGATCGTTCTCGAAAGCAAAAATAACCACTTCTGGATGATTTTACTTCAAGAAGAGGTCATAATTCTTTCTAAAAATCTTAAGAGCTTAAATTTGAAAACCAAGCAAATATCCTAAATTTTAATAGTTGTAATTTTTGTGCAATAGTTGTAATTTTTATGTAGGAAAAATGGATATCGAGCATGTGTGAACTCCTAAACAATTTTGCCATTCTCTCAGAAAATTCAATAGTTCGAGGTCATTTCTTTAAACGAGAAATATAAGTATGTTTAAGGTGTCAATCTAAAGAAAGCAACCCCCCAAGATTTTAATTTGCCACATTATCAGTATATTGATGAAATTATATTCGTTTCAATGTAGAATTGTTGCTTCTCAGAGCTACGCTCTTAAACAAAAAATCAGTTTTTGGTGCTTTCGGGCCCTGAAAATCATGGTTAAACAGCAACACACTAATTTTTTTTACTGAATAATAAAGTTCACTATTTGGACAAGCTCTGTTATTAACTGGGTTATTGATGCTTTTAGCAGATATAATCATTTAAACATTCAAAATTTTTAAAATCTGCATTTTTTTTAAATATTTTCTGAAAACAACATCGTCGCTCAGAAAATCTAGTTATACTATCTTGTAAACTAAAATAAACAGATTAGATAAGAAATTTATCGTTAGTTTTGATATATAAAACATAAACTCAGTGACTGGCACAGTATAGTCATTTCAGGCCTTTGAACCATCAAACTTCTAACTAACAAACCAAATCATATAATTATGATTCGGTTCTTACGATGTCACAGTCAGTCGATGCCACAGTCGATTGTCAGTTGATGCCTATGATGCCACATGTAATTAAAAATGGATAGTCCACTCCTCATCTGTTTGTTCACAAAAACCTAAACAAAAAAGTTTATATATATANACCCTTTAACTTCTGAAAATAATATTTTAATTGTGAAATTGACTTTTTATGGCTCTTTGTGAAAGAACGATTTCTTCAATAAAATTAATAAGATAAATCTATTTTAAGCTTATGATTTTGATATAGAACGACTCGTAGTATATATATATATATATATATATATATATATACTACGAATAGCAAACAGCCTCATGAATTGCAAGAATAAGTCGTCGATGTAATTCAAACGGCGGATATATAGGAGGAGATGAAAAGATTTGATTTTGTCCTAAGGATTAACAACTAAAATTAAGTACAACATTCTAATTTATGAGAAAGGAAAAAAAAGAATTTTAAACTTACTAAAATACAAAATTTCAGCAGTAAAATACTAATTTTGATAATAATTGTAGAAAAAACACAAGTAAATGTTACCGATATTATGATATCCTCATTCATCAATGTGTTTTCAGTATCATTGAATCAGTATTGCCATTTTATTTGCTAACCTGTGTTATTCTGAAGAAGTACCTGATATCTAAAATAACGATAAATAGTAAAGTGATGAGAAAACATTTGAATAGTGTTAGAAAATGATTATTGGAAAAAGAATAAAAAAATCTTGTCTGAAAGAAAAATTACCTTGTTCCATAAAAATGCTGGATTTTTTAGACTCCCTAAATTTGATTTTAAAACCTGTAACTAAATTACACAAATATGTGAACAAATAATAATTGACAGAGCGCTCGCTGTTTTATTGTTCATTTTCAGCAGTACTTTATATAAATACATCACTATGAAAACTCAGTACCTTTCTGTGCTATTTTCTTCTAAAATTATATCTTTTAATTGCAGATGAACTTGAATAAAATCTCTTTATTTCAGCTAATTTTTAACGGGAAGAAAAATATTGTCTCAAAAAGGTGAATGAGTGTGACTTCTAACATAACATTTACACGCTATGAAAAAGATGCGGATTCTGCATTCTTTGAGACTTTTAATGACAGTAACTTCGGATTAACCCTAACTTTGACAGACCATTATTCAGAAAAGCAACAGTGCCCCATGAAAACGATTGCATGTCCATAACCAGGCAGCGATGAACTAATAATCTTGGAAAACTAAATTTTGGGGTGTTGTTGCCTTCTTTGAATAAACCCCTTCATACCTTTAATTTCACCGAAATGACCTGGAACTTTTACATTTTCTACAGAAAAGGAAAAATTTTTTAGGAGCCCAAACTTACATTTTTCCTAATAAATTTATATAAAAAGAAGACAAAAATATAAAAAAATAAATAATGAAAAAATAGAATAAAAATATTTTTAAAAAAATCAAGCCAAAGAAAAAGTTGAAAAAACTGTCAGACTATTTATGTCAGACTAAGTTCATAGTAATGATTTTCAAAAGGTTCTAGGCATATCAAATTATTCATATACTACGGTTTTTGAAGAAAAAAAAGTATTCTAGAGTTTGGTATGTAATATATTTTTTTTCTTTTAACCTTTTTTTAGTACTACTACACATAAATAAATTTAAAAGTTCATATGCAATGCCACTTGGTTTTAGTATTTTTGTGTTGAGGCTTTTAGAATGTTGGCAAAATTAACGAAAGTTCTGAAAGTTTGGATTTTAAATATCCGCCATTTTATAAAATAATGTGTAAAAAGTGTGGTAGATGGAAGGCCTGCCTTTAAACACCAGCTTTTCGTTTATGCAACATATCCTTTTACCAAATAAATCAAGATTGGTAATTTAATTATCTCGTTGTTTACATTTATCTTGGATAAGCAACATGTTTGAATAACACGAAAAATGTAAATAATAAATAATGTATGTAAATAATATAAAAATCTGTGTTATATTGAGGAAAAAATGTATTTCTCATAATTCTAAACCCATTCTCATAATTCTAAACCCATAGCTAAAGGATGCTGCTTAATTTTATCCCAAATTGCTGCACCTTTATTCTCGATATCATTTTTCTCATTATAGCGAAATGTGAGTTAGGCTGGCAAACTGCTAAACAACCCATCATCCTGCTGATCATCTCACTCTTAGTTATGTGAAGTTTTATATTTTATAATCGTCGTTAAACAGCCAAATTTTTGAGTTTTCAACCACCAACGTTCAATTATGTAGCCTCGTAATTTTGAGTCTAATCCAGAAGGCAATGAAACCCCTGGATCAAGTATAGGGATAAATTTCCCCTTTGTGGAGGGCTTTTTGATGGAACTTTCATTTGCATTTCATGGAGAGGGAGTTCTGAGGGATCCGTCAAACAATGAGGATTTTTTTACGTCAGCACTAAAGTCAGTGTGAGCCGGGTGCAGTATTTGTATCGAACAGCTATCGCTGGGATTCGAACTCGATGGACTCACCTCATTGGAAGACGAGTGCTCCATCCCTTGCGCCACCATGACTCAGTTATATAAAATTGAGGCACACCAGTGTGGGTGCAGGTGCTTGGAATGCTCTGGGATGTAAAAATATTCAATAAAAAGATTTGTATTGGTATTCTTTGACTTTATCGCTATCCATTCGTAAAATTGCCGAACTCTAAAGAACAGAGATCGTAATTTTGTTTGTATATATGTAATCGATTGCTTACGGCTGCTATAACAAGACCAGAATGGCATTATTCATAATACTAAGCACCGTAAGCTAAATGTTAAGCTTAGAACAAGAATGAAGGGTAAATTTAGATTTATCTGACAAGAATTGGAAAATAGCAAGACTTTACTGCCAAAGTCTAAAAAGCTCTTAAAGCTTCCATCTATTACCATATAAACATGGCTATTTGATAAAATCCAAAAGTAACGATAGTCATTTTTAAAAAGCTCTATATTAGGAAATACTTAAATAAAAGTGAAACAAAAATAAGAATATTCATTTATTAATGAAAACACGAACTAAACTACCCGAAATATTGAATTTCTGTGTTCATTATTGCAAATTAACCTGAAAGACAGTTTTTGAACTATAGACATTTTTTTATTTTCGAACTTATAGCATTAACTTATTTCCTTTCTCGACGAATTCGACTTTATTGCATATTTGATACTACTGTAAGAATAGACATCGGGCATTTATTAACAAAAACTGGTTTCAACCTTTTTTTTTGCAGGTTGCAGGTGAAAGCTTTGGAGATTTTTCACAATTCTCATTCAGTTTTATTTTTCATGTTTAACCACTTATGTTAATAAGTAGATGGTACTGTTTTCATTTTCATCCAGCTGTCTCAAGATGTAGTTAATATTTGAGAGTTCAACTAAATATTCTTATTCTTATAACTTCAATCTTTATTTTTAATTTATGATCAATATCTAGTTCTAATAATTTTTTTAGATGTCTGTTACAATAGACAACTCTGCAAAAATGGAGGCTCGTGCATAACTACGTCACCTAATAAGTTTAAATGTATCTGCAAAGCTCCATATTCTGGAAGTACCTGTCAAGGTTGTGTTTTATGTTTATGTATACATTTAGTGAGAAAATAAATTTTTTATTTTATAAGAAAATTTCACTTCCAAACTTTAAATATTTGAAATTCAAAGGCTAAGAAAATTATTTAATAACATTGAATTTTATAGTATAAAAATTTCTACTCTGCATCGAATGAGGGAGGAATGAAAGCATACAATACAGACTTGCGTCAGACGAGTATTAGAATGAGAGGTCGAATCGTTTGTTTTAAACTTTATTTGTAAAAAAATTTGATAAGTTACATCATATAACGTTGGGCAAAAGATAAAAACAAAAAAAGAAAATACGAGGATGAGACATAAAATAAGTTTCCTGTGTTGATTGTGGACATAGGTGTATATAAAAGGCAATACATTGAGATATTAAAGATAAGACATAACTTAATTCACCATATATTTAACAGAAAAGTTGTGGTATCACACCACTTTAAAAGATTCGAAAAGTGTGATACTTACAAATTCAATTAGCATAGCTTTCAATGCAACTTCTACTTAAATTCTTGCTCATACCAGAAAATAGATGAATACAAGGTCAGAACTGTGTGTTTTATGATTAAAAATTTTCCAAACCAAAAGTTGTAATAAGGATTCGCACTGCTGTTGAAAAAAATGGTCTCATCCGACAACTGAACGCCAGATGTGAATAATACAGGTCACTTTGTATTAGTAGGGTCAATCAATTTATACAGTTTGTGACCAATCACGAAAAAATCCAGCGGCAAAATTTCTTGGCAACATGCTTAATGTCACATAGTCCGTTCAAAGTTTCCTCCGTATGCAGAGCTCTGTTTTTCTTTGAAGGGTCTTTAGAACCTTTAAAATGGTGTGACAGATATCTCAACGTATTCAGGAGTTCTGCGACAAAATAAAACCACGTCTTATCTTCAATATCCCATTATATTTTGTCTTTCATGCACATAATTGACCAAAGTAGCAGGGGGAAACATATTTTCGAAAATAGAACAAAAAGAAAAATAAGCCTGAAAAAATGCTTTTATGCATTTTAATTGTAGTGTATCGAATATATAAATGTTAAATCAAACACAGTAGAAAAACATATAAAATTTTAACTATGTCAAAATAGAAACAATCCATAAGTTTAGTACATTGAAATATATACCAATCCTTTATACTATTCAAACATATAAAAACAAATAGTTAAGGTTTTAAAATCAAAAGGTTTCAAAACTAGCTTAAAATTTGAATCTCATTTATTTTACTTATGATAAAAAAAAAATTTTGGGATTAAAAAAAATTGCGATAAATTGATCAAGTTGGAAAAAAACATGCTTATCTTGCAGTCAATTTATAAAATATGACAGTCACAATGCTTATTTAAGTTTGCCTCAAATTGACCAGAAAAGTATAAAACAGTTAGCATTTTACACATGACCAAGGCATTTTATAGAATGATTCATGTCCAAAGAATGATGAACGACCAAAATTCGAAACGATGAATATATATTCCACATTTCCTTGGTATCTCTTAGAATGACTAATGAAAAACCTGCCACTATTCTACACAATGACTAAACAATGTTGTACATTGTGGTTCATCATAAAGCCATCTTGATTTCGTGCTATAATTAGATCCAAGAAAAGAAAGAAAAACAAACGTGAATCAATACCAAGAGAACAGTAGTATCGACATTGTGCCAGATTTCAATAATGTTAGCCTTCCCTTCTGTCACAGTTCAGTCCGATTTCCACGTTTTCTTGGAGATTAAAGTAATGGAAAGGGTCGTCATAACAAGGACCCTGTTATCTAAAAATCCCCTTTGTGAAATGAAATTTTCAACGTAAATTGAGGCAGTAAACTATTGGAAATATGGCGTCGGCCACCGGTTCTCTCTACACCTACAGCCAGTCCCTGGCCAAATTAATAAACACACTAAAAGATTCTATGTAAAATCTTAATTATCAGGTGATACTATACAGCTTTACGAGGGTTGCTATTTATATTTCTGGCCTAATAATGAAAAAACAAATATGTAGGATCGAAATTGGTTTTATCGTTTTTCAAAATATTCTCCATGATGATCAATACACTTTTGCATGCGTTTGAACCAATTTTCATAGCACTTTTTCCAGTCCGATTGAGGTAACTCCAAAACATGCGTTTTGAATGCATCAACCGCTTCTTCGGGGGTCGAAAATCGTTGTCCACGTAATTTATTTTTGATGTGTGGGAATAAGAAGAAGTCATTGGGTGCCAAATCAGGGCTGTACGGCGGATGACCCATCAGTTCGATCTTTCGCTCCGTCAGAAATGCCTTTGTTTGAGTCGATGTGTGAGAGCTCGCATTGTCATGATGAAGAATGATTCGCCTGTTCTTCTGCTTTTTTCGAATTTCTCCGATGACTTCTGGCAAACAAATGGTCGTGTACCATTCAGAATTGACCGTCCTGCGTTGCTCTAACGCCACTGTTGCCACATGACCGTTAATGCCGAAGAAACAGGCAATCATTTGTTTCGATGTGCTTCTTCCTCGAACAACTTTTGTTGGTTTTGCCTCGTCTTGGAAGACCCATACAGTTGATTGCTGTTTTGTTTCCGGCTCATATGCATAGATCCATGATTCGTCACCTGTGTAGATGTTATACACAGCCTTTGATGTACCTTGAACGTATTTTTCCAACATTTCCTTGCACCAATCGACACGAGCCTTTTTTTGAGCGTTTGTCAGATTATGCGGGATCCAACGCGAACAAATTTTTTTTACGCTCAAATGTTCATGCAATATTTTATTGATGCTAGTCATACTAATGTCCAAAGACGCCTCTATCTCACGGTATGTCACATGACGATCTTGCTTTATCAGTTCACGCACAGCATCGATCTTTTCTGGCACAACAACGGATTTTGGACGACCTGCACGGGATTCGTCCTGGATCGAACATCGACCACGATTAAATTCGTTATACCAATTTTTTACAGTGCTGTAGGATGGCGCTTTATCGCTGAATAAAGAATTAAGTTCATCGAAGCACTCTTGTCTTGACAATCCACGTCGAAAGTTATGAAAAATAATGGCACGAAAATGTTCACGATTCAATTCCATTTTTTGAAAGAGAAGAACTTTTCAATTTACTGTCAACAACACAAATGAAGCTATAATGGTAAATCGTCTGCTGAATTTATGTTTAAAAATATCAAACTTTCGATTAAAATCATCTGCGGTCGCCTAGCAACACTTACTGTTGCCAAGGCCAGAAATATAAATAGCAACCCTCGTATTGTCTTTATGTAAGTGAAACCGGTTTGCACTTATTTACGTTCATTGCATCAATCGGTTAAATTAGACAATATTTAACATAAATTCGACGATAGGATAAATTAGACGACATGTTATATAAATATAGAATATTTATAATATCAAGTATTATATTAGTATATTATAATAACTAAACCAAATTATTAGACGCACTGTAGTTTTTTAACAATGGCATGTTTTGCACGAGTTTACATGCAATATTTTTATATTTAAGCATACGTATAATGGGTTTTTAAGCAAGAGATTTTTTTATATACTTCCTATTTGTGTTTATTTTTAATGTATTGCCGTACAATGTTAACCAATTGATACACGAACGTAAACAATCGCGAATCGGTTTCAGCCACGTAAAAACATTGAAACTGTTTAGTATCGGCTGATAATTAAGATTTTGCATAGAATCTTATAGTGCGTCTAATAATTTGGCCAGGGACTGCAGAGCTGAAGCCTTCAAACAAAATTAGCCAGCCTTCACCCTCGCTGTATAAAAGAGAAGAAATACTCTTTTTACTCTTTCCATGTCAGTTGCACAAAAATAAATAAAACTATCTGGATCATCCAAATTCTTTTTTTCGTATGTTCCTATGCTTAAAAATAGCTTTCAACTTAGGGTACTGCTTAATTCTTTAATGTCACGAATAATTTGTTTGTTTAGTAAAATGAAACAGAAGATATCAGATAAAAAGAGAAAATCTTCCTTAAAGAACATGTAGATAAAAAAGTGCTGGAGGTGCTTTTATTGTGTGGGAAGATTTAAACTATGGTGGTCAACTAACAGTCAGCAAAATCCGATATTCTAGAAAGTTAATACTTCAATCTACGCGAAAAGTCTCTCAGGGGCTTAGATGACAACATAATTGGCATGTTCTTTCCCTTAATATCAATTTCCAAAGAAAATATCAATAAGGCTGCATATTACAAAAAAGAACAGTTAAAATCTGTGACAGAAATTAAGGCCTCCATCACTGAAAACCGACATGTTACTATCATCCAGGTTTTGGTAAATGATAAGTAACATCGCATATTTCATGTCATATATACATGTGGCGGGTATTTGGGCTATAATCGTAATTCGCTTTTTTTTACGGAAACTTTTCCCTCCTTTTTTACTAATACGATTTTTTTCCAATCCAGTTGGTAGAGAGAGAAAAAGTTAATCCTTATAAGTTTGAGTTTGGATATTGACCTACTTAATATGCCTATCTGATTCATATTGGATTTGTTTGCATCCATTTATGGCGCAAAATCAAAATGGTTTCATTTAAGTGGGAAACACTCGAATAAATCTCATATTTCACTCTTTAATAAAATAGACAGACAGGTTTCATTTGAAATAATTATTATCAGGAAAAAGATTTCTATTATTCTTTTTAAATATTTGATTTGTTATTACGCCACTGATTATAATGAAAAGAAATACATTCCTTCTAACGCTTTTTGTTCTTATAGTTTTCAGTCCATGTAAGCCTAATCCATGTCAAAATGGCGGAACCTGCAATCCGGTTGGAAATACTTTTAAATGTCAGTGCAAAGAAGGTTTTGGTGGAGATCAATGCGATATTAGTTAGTAAAGTTAATGTATTTTATCCAGTTATATTTCTATCACTAAAAATATAACTACAAACAAATTCTACTAATTCATTTATCTATTTAGTACAAATAGAATAATGACCTTAGTTTCATTTTTATCAAGTCGTCAAAAATTGAAAAATGTACAAAATCTTGCCATTAGTCAATGTACATTTTTAAAAAAATATTAGTTTTATCAATCTTTAAAAAATGAACTTTACTTTAACTGAGAAAAAAACCTTCATTTGGGGTCAAAAGCAAACTTTTATTTCTTCAAATCAGAGTTGTGAAGTCGGTAGTTTTTTCATACATTTTTTCCCTATGTTCCTACATATTTATTATTTCGTATTTTTACGGCATTCATTTAAAATTTCGCCATTATAATCAGATTTTCGCACACAAAAACAATAGTTAATAAGTACTTTGTTTATAGTATAAATATTTGATCTAGTATAATCGTTTATTATTATTGTATCGTATTGTATTATCTAGTAGAACTGTTTATACGTATACAGTGCTACAAAATGTTTAAGATGATGTTGATTTTTTTATTGGATATATTATGACAAATATTGATTTGGAATATCGTACGGTTCTAATAACTATTTAAAGTATTAATTTTCCCTTTTATTTGCTACTAGGAACAAAACTATTTTAAATTTAGTTAATTAATTAATTGATCATAACAAATCTAATCTTATCTTTCTTCCAATCCCGACTAGCAATTTAAGGAATTTTTCACAGCGTTTAAACAAACTTCTTCCGGTTTAAGGAAAGTGTTTCGATATAAGTGGAAGAAAATTTTAAAGCTTTCAATTTTATTTTTCATTTAATAAATTTGATTTACAATAATTTTTATGACCACTACTTGTAAACAATTTAAACAAATATGTGAGATCTGAAAATCAAACTGTGATGTTTCTTTTAATGCTGGCAAAGTTATACTCCCTCCGTCCCAAATAGATTGTTACATTTAGGCAGCAGATTTTTACCCAAATTTGTTTATACATTTAAAGTAGTGGAGTCACAAATAATTTCCGACGCCATTTAGTTATTCGACTTCGGTGAAAATATGCAACTAATGAATTCACGATAATATAGATAGAACTACAAGAGAGTTCTGACGAAATATGGTTGGACAATTTTGTGAGAGGTCAAATAGCTGCTCGAATCGACTATGACTAGCGTTACCAATAATTGTCTGAAATTTGTGCAACTGACTCTACATAAGTCAAAGAAAGCTACTCAGCAGCTTATTCTAAATCTTGAATGTGATAATGTTGATGTGGCTCTTATTCAAGAACCATATTATTTTAAAGGAAATCTTCCTGGATTTCCGAAAACTTATAAAAAATTTTATGATATAAATTTTATTATGAGATTATTAAAGCAGCTATTATTGTATGTAATGGTGCAATTACTGTGTTTTCCGATTCTAAAAATTTTGATTATAATTCTGTTTTTATTGACATTTCTTTTGGTGGTTACGAATTTACCCTTTTCTCTTATTATTTTGACTCTTCAGTTAATATCGATGCTGATCTTAGAAAAATTGAGCATACTTTTGCAAATAAACTTATTTGGAACATGGATGCTAACAGAAAGTCTGAAGTTTGGTTCAGTCCTGTAGCGGACTCCAGAGGTATCAAGCTAAGCGAATTCTTCAGTACGTGGCAGCTGTTTACGCGACACAGGGTTCGAGCTACTTTGATGTAACTGTTGTCGGACTAGAAGTATTTGAACTTATTGAGAATTGGTTTATATCAGAGTACGATTCTTTTTCTGATCATAGGCTGATTTCTTTCGAACTGGGAATACCTAAAGCAGGCAGACAAAAAAAAAATTCTTCAAATACGAAGCTATTTAATATTAAGAAGGCGAATTGGAGGATTTTTCATTCCCATTGCACTAATGTCGAAAAAGTCATACCAGAGTCTCTGGGTAACTGTACTCAGCCTGATGCTCTGGAATGTTATGTTCAAGATGTGCAAAATTTAATTATCTCTGACGCTGAGAAATCAATTCCCTTAAACATAAGTGGTCTGCACAGAGTACCCTGGTGAACGGAAGAAATTTTCTGCTAATGCAAAAGCAGTTAAATGCTGCTAGAAGACGCTACCAAAGAACAAATAATCCCACTCTAAGATAGATCTATAAACAGAAGTATATTCAAATTAGAGTGAATTTATAATTCGAAACTTGAGGAAAGCAAATTTAACTCTTGAACAAACTTTCTTGCTGATATTATTGTGCGGAATGTTTGGAAGAAAATTTATACTCATGGAGTTAAAACCAATTTTGCTAAAAGACTTGAAATTTCAGGAATTGAAACTTCCTCTGGACGCTTTACTTCATCTTTTGAAGACACGTATTGATGTTATCTAAAAGAAATCTTTCCCTCGTGATTCCAGAAGTAATGATAACTCAAATTAATGGGTTTTAAGTTCAGAAGTTGAACTTATTTATGATAATGATGATGATCTCTCCTTTTGAGGAATAGAAATTGTTTCCAGTAAAAGTGAAAGAGCTTTTCTTGGATTACTTAGAATTTCAAGAAATACTTTTGGAGTGAAATATGATGTTCTTACACTGATCTATAAAAAGGCAATCGTTCCTCTTATATCTTATGCTTCGAGATCTTGGAGGCATTCCTTAAGGAAGAAAATTAATTGCAGGCTTCTTAGGAGGACTCAACGGAGATTTCTGCTTCGAGTCATTAAAGGATACAGGACTTTAAGTTATGAAGCAGTATTTGCTATTTCTGGTCTGCCACTAATTGATTTAGCTATTGTGAACAATCTTAAAGTTAGAGAAAACTATTTGAGTAATTGCCGTGACACCCTTAATGGGAAGCTACCGGCTTCCTTCTTGCCACATCCTTCATGCAGGAAGCCCATCATGCTTGTGTCGTGTTCCAGGGAAACCCTTATTGAATACAATACTATTTGTTACACAGATGGTTGCAAATTAAATGGGAAAGTTGGACTTGCCAATGTTATTTATGAAGACGGCGAGGAAAAATTTATTTTCCAGCATCGAATAAGAGACGAGTGATCGGCTTTTCAAGCCGAACTGCTGTGCATTAATTTTGTCGTAAATTTTATTAAAGATTCTATTGTGCGTAATGTGAATCATAGATATCTTGTTTGCTCTGATTCACTTTCTTCTCTTCAGCTACTGCTTATTACAGTTGCTGCGGAGAAACTCGCTGTCGGTATTCAGTTCATAGTGCATGCACTTGATGGTGTTGCTGATATCCATTTTGTTTATGTTCGAGACCATAGTGGTAATTTCGGGAATGATAGAGCAGATCAGTTGGCTAAGGATGTGACTCGCCTTGCTATTGATTTACCTCTGTCTGTCCCGCTTTCACACTGGAAGCATGTTGCCTCGGAAAAAACTGTTTTGGACTGGAACAAAGAATATTTGGCTTCACCAAAAGCTATGTGGGCTGAAAAATTCTTCCCAACTATATTTCATCGGATAAAGTGTAAAACGTTTTCTACTGACTTTAAGCTGTTCCAGATTCTTACTGGTCACGGTAATTTTAAAAATTTGCTTGTTTAAGTTTAATTTGATCAATGATAATTTTTGCTCATGTGAACAGGACTCTGAAACTGTTGAACATATTATTTTTTATTGTAAGCTATACTCAAGCCAAAGAGAAAGTTTTAAAAAGGAGTTGAGACTTTCAGGTATTTATTGGCCACCTGTTTCATCCTCTTTCATTATGTGCACTGACGCCCGGTGGCTGAGTGGTAGCACTTCGCGTTCAAGTGCCAAAGATCCTGGGTTCGATCCTCGGGCCGGGCAAGGTTGTCTCAGCCCTTCATCCCTTCAGTGGGTCGATAAATGAGTGCCAAGTGTGCTTGGGAACTAAACACTGGGGGTTCCGCATTCGGCAGACCACCTAACCGGAACATCTGCTCCTGCACCCCAGAGCCCAAAGTCAAGAAAACTGAGATGGGCACAGTAGGCCCTCTATGTGCTGTCGCGCCATTGAGTTTAATTTAGTTTTGTGCACTGAATACCTTACTATTTTGCGAAATTTTGTATACAGCTTAAACTTTTAATTCTTATTCTGTTTCTTTGTTTTTTTCTTCTCTTTCTTTTGCACTTTGCTCGCTTACTTCTGTAAGCCTCGTGTTTTACATTGTGGAGCATGAGGAGTTGCTTAAATAAAATGTAATTTTTACAAAAAAATATTGATAATGATGTAGGGAGTGAAAACTTGGCTAGTAACTTTTGTTGACAGATAGCATAACGCATTGAAATCTCGAAAGAATGTTAATTAGCAAAATTATAAAATTATCAGCATCAATTATCACTTCAAAATTATTTACTTGTGGTAACTATATTGGACAGAGGCAGTACAAATAAAGATTATTTTTGTCGTTATTTTGTTGTAACGTAGACATCTGTGTTATTGATTATTTGGAGTATTTTAAATATGCTCATAAAAGTTCCCATTAATTTAGTAAGGAGAGCGGTCAAAAGTTTGGACCCCTTAATGTTAATTTTACTTTTTATGTAATTCACCCTAACTCGAGAACTTTTTAAGCTAATCAAAAAATGATTGCATGCAAATATAAAGTTCGTTTGACTGAAGAAAATTCCATGGTGAAAATAATTTTCGATAATTTCTTTCAGACTTTTAACTATTTTAAGAAACAATTTTAAATGGTAAGAGTATACTAATTTTAGCATAATTTTATACAGCAAATTGGTCAAATAGTATTTAAGACATCACATTTTAAATAGGCGTCTTATTTTAATGAAACGTTTTTTTATAAATTTCAAACTGTGAAATTCACTTTCAGTATTAATTTTGTGTTTTTAACGTCTAAGAGTTGTTTAATGCTCTTTAAAAAGACCTTAATATTTAACATCATGACTCAAATAATTTTAATATCTTATAATGGCTCCCGAGATATAATTCTTTAATTCAATTAAATTTTTTTAATATGTTGTCTCGAAAGACACTTTGATGAAAAATAGAAAATTTTTAATTTCCAGGTGCTTTGCGTGAGCCTGTAAAAACAACAAAATATTTTGAATTTTTCCAGTTTTTCCAATTTTTTCCTAAAGAAATGGTGTTCAAATATATGTAAATTGCACTTTTTTATTAAATTAAATTATTTACAATTTAAAATCAATATTAGGTTTGAAGCTGTCAAACTTCTCAAGGTTTTACAGTTTTTACAAAAAACATATTTTACAACAAAAAAAAAGAAACTAGAAAATTTATAGTTTATTGTTAAACCACAGTTTTCACAAATCCTACTTTTGGTACTGGTAAAAGGACTTAATGAAATTAAAAAATTAATTTGTTTGTAATTCAAGAAATTTGATATATCTATTCATAATGATTGTTTTTTGTGTTTTGTTGTCTTCAATTCAGTTGCGATAGTTACGCATGCTTCTATAGTGATAAAATTTATAATTTTGCAGAAACTGAGGAACCATGTTCCACCGATAGTTCAATAACCACAGTTTTCACAGATACTTCTTTTAGCACAGGTACAAGGACTTAATGAACTTAAAAATAAAATTGTTCATAATTCAAGAAATCTTCATATATCTATTCATAAAGAGTGTTTTAGAGTTTTGTTGTCTACAGTTCAGTTGCGATAGTTACGTATGCTTCTATAATGATAAAATTTATAATTTTGCAGGAACTGAGCAACCAGATTCCACCGATAGTTCAGGAAGGACAGATTCAACACATACTTCTTTTAGCACAGGTAGAAGGACTTAATGAAGCTAAAAATAAAATTGTTCATAATTCAAGAAATTTTGTTACATGTATTCATGATAATTTTTTTCTAGTTTTGTTTTCTTTGGTTCAGTTGCGATAGTTACGTATGCTTCTATAATGATAAAATTTATAATTTTGCAGGTTCTGAGCAGCCAGATTCCACCGATAGTTCAGGAAGCACAGGTTGGACAGATACTTCTTTTAGCACAGGTAGAAGGACTTAATGAAATTAAAATTAAAATTGTTCATAATTCAAGAAATTTTGTTACATGTATTCATGATAATTTTTTTTTATTTTTTTGTTTTTTTGTTCAGCTGCGATAGTTACGTATGCTTCTATAATGATAAAATTTATAATTTTGCAGGAACTGAGCAGCCCTATTCCACCGATAGTTCAGGAAGCACAGACTGGACAGATACTTCTTTTAGCACAGGTAGAACGACTTAATGAAATTAAAAATAAAATTTTTCATAATTCAAGAAATTTTGTTACATGTATTCATGATAATTTTTTTCTAGTTTTGTTTTCTTTGGTTAAGCTGCAATAGTTACGTATGCTTCCATAATGATAAAATTTATAATTTTGCAGGAACTGAGCAGCTAGATTCCACCGATAGTTCAGGAAGCACAGACTGGACAGATACTTCTTTTAGCACAGGTAGAAGGACTTAATGAAATTAAAAATAAAATTGTTCATAATTCAAGAAATTTTGTTACATGAATTCATGATAATTTTTTTCTAGTTTTGTTTTCTTTGGTTCAGCTGCGATAGTTACATATGCTTCTATAGTGATAAAATTTCTAATTTTGCAGGAACTGTGCAGACATATTCCACCGAGACTTCAGGAAGCACAGGTTGGACAGATACTTCTTTTAGCACAGGTAGAAGGACCGAATGAAATTAAAAATAAAATTGTTCATAATTCAAAAAATTTTGTTACATGTATTCATGATAATTTTTTTCTAGTTTTGCTTTCTTTGGTTCAGTTTCGATAGTTACGTATGCTTCTATAATGATAAAATTTATAATTTTGCAGGAACTGAGCAACCAGATTCCACCGATAGTTCAGGAAGCACAGACTGGACAGATACTTCTTTTAGCACAGGTAGAAGGACTTAATGAAATTAAAAATAAAATTGTTCATAATTCAAGAAATTTTGTTACATGTATTCATGATAATTTTTTTCTAGTTTTGTTTTCTTTGGTTCAGCTGCAATAGTTACGTATGCTTCAATAATGATAAAATTTCTAATTTTGCAGGAACTGAGCAGCCCTATTCCACTGATAGTTCAGGAAGCACAGATTGGACAGATACTTCTTTTAGCACAGGTAGAAGGTTTTATGAAAGCACATTTTCATGTTTTTCTTTCAGCAGAAAAGTGGCTACCTTACGTCTTCCTATTTGAATTCAATATTTGTTTTTCCTTTGGTTTTCTTAAAATATTTCTTAAACGTTTTGATTTAAAAAAAAAAATCTTATATGACAATAGGACTTAAAAAGTACGGTAATATATTTATATGTATATATTGCACTACAAAATATCAGTTTCAGCCTTTAACAGGAAATTATATGCTATATTTACAGCACGTAGTTAATACCTAATGTAGCCTCTTTGAAAATGTGTACGTTTACTACATATATTGTTTTCATGATTTTTCGAGTATTCATTTTGACCTTTAAACAAAACGTTAATATAATTGTGTTTGCTTGTATAAAATTTTGCCACCATGTAAATAATATAACCAACACTCTTTTTCCTACTCTTAACTTGAAGTTCTCTGTCTTGGAAAAGAACTCCTATGACTACAGAGTCTGGAATCATTGATGGCTATGCGAACAAATAAAACTGCATTTAATATAAGGACTTTATTTTTACACTACTTTCACCATTCGAAATGTTTGTCATACCTACCTAGATATCGAGAGTAGCCATAGCTACCGAGAGTATTCCAGGCAACCAGGTATTCCAGGTAAGGAGAGTCTCTTTATTAGATAGAAAGAGGGACACATTGAAAATTACTTTTATTACATCATTTTGTACATCAATTTAAATACTGAGCTGATCACTTTTTTTCGTTATTTCAGCTGGTGTTTGTGACTGTGGCAATCATTCAGTTGCATGCTATTTAGATAATGAAGGAAAGAAAATGTGTATATGCGACATTGGGTATTCTCAGTTGTTCCATACATGTATTGGTAAGTTTCTTAAATTTCTCTTCTGTTTAAATACGCATTTAATAAATTTCAAGGCTAAATAGATATTGAATAGTTTCTATTTGTTATCAAATATGTAACTCTCAGCATCTTACTTTATTAATGTCAAGAATCAATCGATTCTATGGAATGTAGCTGGTTGGTTGTAAAGCCAATTACTACACTGGCAACCCTGCTTGATGAAGCCGAGGAAATATAAGGCAGAGTGTGCGATTCTTGCTTTTCAGTGGCACCATCTATGACCAAGATTTAGACTTCCCCACATCATACTTCTCACCAGTCTATAAGGTGGACCCATTCATACATCCATTCATTCATCCACAGATCGTAATTTTGACCTGAATCAGGGAATGATCGATCTCCAATCCAGTACCCCCAGAGGTATTGATTTGTTATGGGAACATGGAGGACTTTTGCGACTCGACAGATTTAACGTGCATCCGTCACTTTACTACACGGGGAGTCTTCGGCCGGCGGGGTTCAAACCCATGAACTCTCGGACATGTGCCTAGCGCCCTACCAACCGGGCTTTCCCGGCCGATGGAATGTAGTTTCACAGTTTGACATCTCTTCTACTGAGAATGTTACAAATAGCATAATTATTTTTGTTCATTTTTTATGCAAAAGATTAGGTTATGTTTTTCGATAAGAAAAAAATTCCAATAAATCCTTAAATTTCTAGATTTTTTTGAATTTTTAATATTTTATATGAGGAGAACATCCTTTACTATAAAGAGAAAAGAAGCATTCTTTAAGGTAACGACAGGGACATATAAGCCTTGTTAATTTGAATAAATCCCAGACCTTGGTTTAAGGACTCTTGGAAGGAGAATTGGGGCAAACTACCTATCATAGGGAACTTTTTTAAGGAAATAATTTGCATTAGCATTATATAGGAAGAAAACCACATAAACCTCCGAATTGCGAGTGATTAAAATGGAAGCTGTTTCTCGTCTATGTATGTATTGGAACAATATTTTCAAAAACATTAGGAACTGGAACGTAATTGTGCTGACTGAGTGAAATTTTAACGAGAATCAAATCCAGTTCAAGCAAATAAATAGGATTATAGGATTATCCATCGTCTCTTTGAAAACATATTCTTTTTACCATTTTTTCAAACATTATTTTTTCCTTCTCATGCTTAATTTAAATGGCTTGAATGCTTATATTATTAAAACTATTACTTCTCATGCCGATATCGATTATAAAAGAGACTGATTTCCATGATTTGATCTTCCAATTGCCATAGATAGTGTAAACAGTCCACACTTAGTTTCTGAAAAAATATGAACTTTTCTTACGATAAAATAGAATTGAGCACTATAAACTTTTTCCCTATATAAATCATCAAGTAATAGCCCAGGCAGAAAGAAGTGTGTTAACAGTGAAACAGTCCGGTAATCGCGATTCTTATGATGTTAAAACGTTAAGTAAATGATTTTATTCTGACAAAGTTTATGACAATAACCAGCTGTTTTCCTTGCATGTGATTATGCAAACTGGCGGGCATTGTACTCTAGTAAAATTATAAAATAGAATGCAATAAAGTACATATTTCTAGAAAAATAGAATACTATTAAGCAGACTTTGTGACAATTGCTAAGGAACAACTTATTTATGGAAAGTAGTGTTGTTGAGAGCTGACCAATAACAGGAAAATCAAGTGCAGCAGTCATGATAAAGCAGTCGCCGTTATCTGTATAAAAGGCAGGCAATGCACACAATCTCTTCCTTCAATTGGAAATTCAGGGTGTTAAGTGTTTGACCAAAATAGCGCCGTAAGTTTTTGAACTTATATCTGTAAAATTCAGCGTTGTATCAAATGTTAGAAAGACATCATTTGAGTTCTTACAATCGTGGACGACCAGGTAGACAATTGGAAGCAGGTCAAAATTTCGCCACTGTGGCCGCACAGATGAGAGTTTTAAAAAGTGTCATTTCGTTACGAAAAAAGACCACTAGAGGTAGAAATGCTATGCAATGGCGTACCGGTGGTCGTTGTAGGAACACCACACCTCAAGAAGAGCGATACGTAGCCATAATAGCAAAAAGGAACAAAAATGTCACTCCTCGATAGATAACTGCAGATTGTATCATATCACCCATTGTAACATTTACATAAATGTAGTATTTATGTATGGTTTTATTTTATTTATGACCATCGTTTTGAACAGCCATCCCAAGTTTGGGTTTACGACTACTGATATTCAACTCCGCAACCTTATAATTTTGAACCCAATCCAGAAGACTAGGGAACTTCCGGATCAAGTATTAGAAGAAATGTGTCTTTGCGGAGGACTCTTTGATGGAACTAAGCCGCATTTGCATTCCATGGAGAAGAAGACCACGAGAAACTCACACGGTTCGCCTGAAGGCAAAGGGACTCCCATGATCTGTCTACCACTGAGAATATTTCGTGTCAGCATTGTGGTCGGAGCAAGCCGGATACGGAATTCGTATCACCATCCCTCGCTAGGACATGAACCCGATTCACCTTCTTGGAAGTTGGCGAACGCTCTAACTCCTGAGCCGTCGCGGCTCTTACGTATGGTTTAGCATTTTATGTTTTTCTGTTACTTTTAAAATTAAAAAAAAATCTCGGTTTTCTATTAAACTTTATTTAAAGCATTAAGCCTTCGAAGATAGAACTTTAAAAGATAGATATAGAGCCTTGAGCCTTCGAATTAGAAGGTTTTAAATGTCGAAGACAATATTTTACGTTTTCTTTTCGAAGAATCTGAACGTTTTCAAGTATTGAATATCAATACTAGGTTATTTTCTTATACTCACTTTAACGGCAAATTAATTTTCACAGCTTTTATAGAGAGATGAAGTTTGGAATTTGAATACCTGTTAACTTTCGCGATTTTTACTAAAGATTTTTCACAGTTGTAGTTGAAAAGCAGAGTAAATGCAAATAAATAACAATTTTTTAAAACCTTTTCATGTTTTTACACATACAAGGAAGAATTTTCAGGTTTCTTGTTTACTTTTTATTTACTGTGTATGTTGAGATAATTAATCTTCTTGAATTTACGCAAATTTTCTTAAATCAATCCTATAACATATTTCACGTAATAGTGAGAAAAAGTAGTAATTATCTTACACTCAATGTGATGTAGTTATTCAGTTAAAGAAATCAACCACTTATTAGAATCGAAACCATCAAATAACGATGAGATTATGAACGTTATTTAATTAAAGAAATTTTGGAGCATAGTTTCACTCCTCCATTAATTTTTGAGCCACGAAATTTAAAATAAAGGAATAAAGTTAAAAAAAAATTTTTACGTTTGTATATCTTCGCCATTTTGTATCATAACCTACTAATTGCAATTTTCTTTCTTTAAAAACCAAATTTTGGAATTCTACTTTAGCAAATCGTTGCCGAGTCGCTTTTTTTTCGAAATATATTGTGAAGCACTTGTGATGTTTTTTTTTAATTGCATACATCATTCTGTTTGCAAAGAATATAATAGTCCAATATATTATGAAGAGTAAATGAAAGTTTATATTTTCTTTCCTAGATTGTTATTGCGGCGAAAAATCACTTGGATGCTTCTTTGATGAAAGTAAAGAGAAGAAGTGCTTATGCAAAGAGGGTTATGCTCAAGACCAAGAAGCATGCAGAGGTATGAAATATATCAGGTGTACCATTACCACAATTCTTAGCATACATTTTTAGACTCCTATTACTATCTTTTAAAGACATTTTCAACGTTAAAATGTAATATTTTCACAGGAATGAGAAATTTAGAGGAAATTTTTTCCAAACAGCTCCTTATTATATTTGATATAAAAAGTAACATATACTTAAACACAATCAAGAATTTACAACAAAAAAGCACATTCGGAAGAAAAATTATTTGTTTGAAAAAACAATTTCGGAGATGAAATATGCATGAAACATTTTATTTCATATTTCATTACGTTCGGCGTTGAACAGCAGATAAAATTTCGGGTTTACGAATACTAATGGTCAACTCCGTATCCTTGTTATTTCGAAACCAATCCAGAAGACAGGAGAATTCATGAAACAAGTACAACAAATTTTCCTTCTTGGAGGAATTTTTTCATTGGACTAACCCATATTTGTGTTACATAGATGGGAAAACCTGTCACGTTTTGCCTGATGGCAAAAAGATTCTAGCACATGCTCCGTCTACAACTGAGGATACTTTACGTTTGCACCGTGGTTAGTGCAAGCCGATTGAGGAATCCGTATAGACTAGCCATCGCTGGGATTTGACCCCGGTTCACCTCATTGGAAGGCGAACGCCGTATCCCCTGAGCGACCACGTCTCATGTTTTAAACATTAAAAAAAAGGGTTCTGTTAAGAAATGTGACCAGCCTTAGCTACGATGCATTTGTAACAAAAACTTTTCATGTAGGCAATCAAATCACCTTGCACTGAAATAGGAACACGAAATAGAAACACCACAGACCCTTGATATAATTCATGTTACCCGCCATAGAGAAAAGCTCTATTCTCTAAAGTGTCTGCTAAAGTATCTTTAAGCATTCGGTATTATATTAAGGTTTGGAGATTGGGCTAGCCAATCCAATCCAATCATTAAAGAAAATCCTTGATGTGATGAGGCTTGTGTGATCACCTGATCACTCTCTTACCGTCAATCAGCACAAAATCTATAACTAAAAATAAATAAATAAATAGAATAAAACAAACTTCTAAGGTTTTAAGAACAAACATTTACACTCTTGCTAAACTTAGTGTCCGTTTCGAAAACATGGAGGGGCATACGGCCATTCAAGACGATGCCTTATCATACGGTTAATTAAGACGATGCCGTATCATACCATTAATTATTCGCTTCGATAATCGTCGCTTGCACGCATGCACATACATTTAAAACGAATTAAAAATATAAAAATATATATTTTGATTTAATATCACAAACGCACTCATACCTCATATAATGCTAACAAAGTTTTGCTTAATAAAATTAATTAAGGATACATTTTGATACATATTTTTATTTAATTTAGAAACATGTAAATACGACAGAGAGTGTCTGAATGGCGGAATCTGCAAGATCAGCTATGGAAGAGTTGGATTTTGTGAGTGCAGGGCAGACAACAGCGGAGATAGGTGCGAGATCAATGATGTCTGTGATCATTTCAATGATGTATGCCAACGATATGGAGCCGTATGCGTCATTAAAGATGGATTGCCATCTTGTGAATGTCCTTCTGACAGGAAAGGTGTTACTGGACATTGTGAAAGTAAGAAATTAACACTAAATAACAGTGAAATATTGATTCAGACAGCAAGGTATTATATAATTACGTTTTACAGGGCTCGCGCTAAGGATTTCAAATTATTAGCCAAATTATTATTTATTTCAATTGTTTCAAATTACTATTTGTTTCAGGCTTGTATTATTAGGATCCAATTCTNAAATATTATCATGTTTTTAGGGCATGAATCTGAATTGAACAACCTGATAATCCTCACTCTGGTTATTGTTTCCGTTTCTAAAAGCGCTATCTGTTGAGCCAGTTTATATTAAATATTATCATGTTTTTAGGGCATGAATCTGAATTGAACAACCTGATAATGCTCACTCTGAATATTGTTTCCGTTTTTAAAAGTGCTATATGTTGAGCCACCTCATGTGACATTTGCCATGTGACATTTTTAGCAGCAATCATTGGTCGATTTTCTAACGTTGCCATTCGGGGAGTTGTAATGAGGCTTTTTTTTGGTGCCGTGTAAGAGAAATATATATACATAGATTACGTTTCACAGGGCTCGCGCTAAGGATTTCAAATTATTAGCCAAATTATTATCTGTTTCAATTATTTCAAATTACTATTTGTTTCAGGCTTGTATTATTAGGATCCAATTCTATTTGGTTATGCGGCGCATCTACCGAAAATGACTGTAACATACCTGCCAACTTTTACGCATTTGGCGTAAAGTTTAATTTTTATATTTAAAGTGGTAGTAAATATATACTCCTTTTTCTTTTATAAACTTAATTTTAAAATGATTTTGATCACCACTGTTCTTAAAAGAATTAAGCACATATATTAATATGCGTTAATATAGTGGTTGACAGCTTAAGCTTTTTCAAATACAACGCATTTATTTGCTTAGAATTGAAATTTTAATTCCATTTTAACACCACTGGGAAAAAGGATAATGGAAGGGATTAAATGTTGGCAGGTATGCTGCAATCGAATAAAAAATACTGATTTGTTGGAAAAATTTATTTTGACGTAATTATGAGGATCGAGTTAATGTCATACTTTTCTTTTCACTGAAGAAGAATCATTCTCCAATACTTTCGTCAAAACACAATTTTACTAGCCAAATTAACGATATAATCGCATTTGGCGAGGTGTCGAATGTTTAGCGTAGGGACCTCTTTTTTGAATAAACCATTTAAATACGATAGAGCTAATACATTTAGCATACAAAATATCTATTATGAATAAATAAAACAAATCTGCTTCCCCAAAACGACAAACACTTCCTTTAGATATGAAAGCCGCAACTGCACTTTGTGAAAATAAGAAATTACACTAATTACAGGAAATTCACAGGCGACAAAAAATGCAAAAAGTGGTCGAAACTCAATTCAGTTTTATTTTTTAATTATCTCTTTCATTATTAAATCTTAACTACCAGAATGATTCACATTTCAAATTATGCAAATATAAACCAGAAACTATCTTTAAACGAGCTTTCAATAGCTAAATAAAAAATATGCTAAAAAACTTGTTAATTTTAATTTCTTTTAATAAAATTTTGAATTTTATTAGTCACCAATTTTTGTATTTTAGTCACCTGTGGCAACCTTGTAATTAAGAATATTATTATTACTGAATTTGTCAACCATAAGTATGCAATTGCGTAGGAGCATTCAACATAGGTAATACTATTAAATACGTAAAGTAAATCAGCTGTCGTTTATAATCTGATGACTTACTAATATCAAGGTTGACAAAAAGTGCAAAAAAAAATGGCGGTTATTAAAATTCAAAATATCATTAAAAGAAATTAAAATTAGCAACTTTTTAAAAAAAAATTCAATTATGAAAGCAGAATTGAAAGTGAATGCAAAGAATATGTTTGCTTTCAATACTAATAATTTGAAATGTTAGTCTTTGTGTAGTTAATTTACTAAAGAGATAATAAAAAAAGAAAATGAATCGAGTTTCTACCACCTTTTATATTTTTAGTCGCTTGTGACATTCCCGTATTATGCACAGATAAGACGGCACCAAAATTTTGTCCTTTCTCTTTCATTCACCAACTGCCAATAAATGAAAATTCGCGATTTCTTTACTACTGTACTCGACAGCGAATTGGTACCAAGAATGTTTGGATTATTTCCTTAATTTAGGAAATTAAAGTATTTTTAACTACCACTTCTTTTCTTGATTTTAACTTGATTTCTTTTAGTATATTTCTAATGATACATAATAGCACTTGTGACAGCTAACCACAATGCTTTCACCCCGTGGTCGGAAATACTACAACCACATTTTTTTTTTAATGTAGCGACTAGCGAACTTAATTTTACCAATATTCAAAATTATTTTAACTAAAAAATTGGCTTGGATAAATATGAGGAGATATTAAGAGTTAGTTACAATTCATGTTTAAATGAAATTGTTTTTTATTCTGAAACACTTTTTACTAATTTGTTCTTTAAACTCTATGCTTTTCTTGACAGTGATTTAAAAAATGCTAGGAAATTATCAAATATTTGTGATTTAAGAGATCAATGATTTTATATATCTTCCAAGAAATAAGGTACAGAACGAAAACAAATAATGGACCACCCTGAATAACTGTTTATCTAAAGATCGGATTTTCACGTTCTCGGCTTCAATCTTAATGGTTTGAACGGTTTGACCGCAAATATGCTAATTAATTCATGCAGACGATGTTTTAAGTAACGAAATCAGACACAAAACCATACTTTATAGTTCCTGTGAAATCAAATTTAAAAAAACGTCAGATATTTAAAATTCGATTTCCCAGGACAAATCGACCGACTTTCCGAGCATCAGACGTAGATCTTATTAACGATCGGCCACAGAGACATTCTCATTGCATACGTTGACGGGCCCGCTGAGAATTTGCACCAATCAGATTCGATTCTTTTTTTAAACGTTTAAACTTTATTTCTTTATTTAACTAACGTTAAAAGTAGTTGACAGGAATCGCTACAAGCAACTGTTTTTTGTGTCGCACGACTCACTGCGCTACTTCTCTTAAAAAGTAATGCACTACACTACATACTACGGAAAAAAGTAGCCACTACAGTAGTTTTGCTACTTCAGACGACTCATTTCAATACACAGTTTAAACAACATCATGCTGAATATGATAGACTAGGACTAGTAATTAATAATATCAGTATTAACCCTTTCCAGAATTACTGTCAGTCACCACTGTCACCTGTAAATTACCCACCGCTCTAAATGTAAAATTTTTTTCACCTCAATGTTTAGTTACCACTTCATTCAGTGATCTCCGGGTATTTTAAGGTAAGTTTGTGAAAAAATCTTTCAAAATGTTAGTGGTTGCGTCCATTTTTTTTAACAGCTGAAAGAGCTTCGAGTGCAAATGGTTAAAAGACAGTTTATTTCTTTAGTATTAAAAAAAATAAGAAAGGCAATATTTATCTACCGTGGTTTTTGTTAAAAGAAGATTTTTTTAGTCAAATAATGACGATGCTTGTGGTCAGTGACAGTGGAAATAAGGCCGAGAGATATAAAGTCTTTCTGATATACAAGAAGTTAGAATTTTCTAAGATAGAAGTTATGTTACTGTTTTTAATATAATCTTGAATGTTTGGAAATATTTTTTAAAAAAATGTCTTAAATAAAATGTCCAAAACCATTTTGATACTCGAAAAAAAAATCCTAATTAAATACTCGAATCGTAAGCATTTTAATAATTTATTTATTAAATTTCAGATATCTGCACTCCAGATAAATGCATTCATGGTCACTGCGAGATATTTGGGGAAGATTTCAAATGCAGGTAAATCTGCCTGATATTCCTAATATTTTCTGGTCAATAAGGAAAAAACTACAAAATAAATTCATATTGCGTGAAAAATATTGTCATTTTTTTAATGTGTACATAAACTAATAAAAGAAAAGTATTCGTGTGAGCTTACATATAAAATTAGTAATGTAAATCGACTAAATACATTTAGCAAATTATAACTTTTCAAACGTCTTTCCTTTAAGGTGTGAAGCTGGCTTTGAAGGAAAATACTGTGATAACAAAACTGCACCTAACAAACGTAAGTAACATAAAGCATTGCTTTGGCGTTACAAATAATTGTTTAACATTTTACTGTACAGTGAGCAAAGAAGAAAAAAAATTAACCACCATCAATAACTTTTGATCTAATGCTTGCATCTCTTAGCTTTTGGACTCAAATTAATGATTCGTGGGGTCAACCTCAAATATGCCGGTTAATTGAAAAATTAAATAAACGAATTAATGAATAAAAAGTTTCATAATTAAAATTTGATTTCTCAGAAACTATTTGACGAATTTCGAGCAAATTTTCAATTTTTTAATGTAAAATTATTGTTTAAAGTAATGGAAAAATTCTGTACCTTACAATTCCTTATTTTTTCACTATTGTTAAATAAAATAATAAAAAATAATTAAAAAATAAAAAAGAAATATTTGCTCAAACTAATTTTCTCAGGTACCTACTTTTGAATAAACGAATCTTATAAGCGCGTGCAAAAAATTTTTAATGCTCTAAAAAGTTCACGAGATATGGTGAAGTACGTAAAAAGTAAAATTGACCACCACAACCTGACCAAACTATTGGATCTTTAATTCCCGGATTGCGTCTTTCAGAAATCCGAATTTGTCAAAAAAAAAGGTATGTTTATTCAGAGATAGTACGTTTTTTGTATCTAAATTTTCCACTTACTATACATATCTTCTCACTAATTAATTAACATATTTGAGGCAATCCCCACGAACCATTATGATTGAGTCCTAGTAAGTGAAAATCTGATCATTTGATCATAAGTCTCTCCGGGTGATCTGTTTTTCTTTTATAACTGTGCCTTAGAAAAATCAAAGAAATACACTCGCTGTTAACATATGTGGAATCATGGTGATGCGATCCATTAAGATCAGAAAGATTTGTGTATTTGTATAGTACTATCTTGATCTGTCATAGTTTTTGGAAGAAAAGAAAAACATACTTTACATCTGAAGCTCATGACATAACAGACTTAGTAGTCATATAATAACTGCAATTACGTTCAAGGCCACTGGAGCCTCATTTCTATTAAATAATAAACATTTAACAGTTCGCTTTTTTTCGAGATTTTCCTTTAGGCTGTAGTTGATCACAATCGCGTGCGTTTAATTCTTTTCAAATCGGTTACTTGAACTCAAAAAAAAGTCAAAAATCATATTTTTTTTCCATTAAAGAAAGGCTTGGAAAGAGGGAGGATCGATAAAAGACGCTGGATTGAAAAATTGCCCCGCGCAAAGGTAAATTTAATTTCTTTGGGACTGTTTTTAATGTATGTTTTCCGACGTTTATTATTGGTTTTTATTGTTATCTCTATTTTAACCAATTAAGCGCACGCCTGCGAAACATTCTGATTTTTCCGACTCAAAACTTTACAGTGAAAATTTTATTCCTTTTAAAGTTACATCACCTTTTACAGTAATGACCATTAGTTTTAAAACATTTTACATATTTTAATTTAATAAAAAAACGTATATTTTTATATATATTTTTTGTATTTAGGTGATGGAATATTCTTTATTCTGGTTATCACTGGCATAGTTTCCATACTGATATTTGGCATTGGAGTACTATGTATGGCAATTTATTTCAGGTACACGCAATTACTTAAAGATTTCGTTGATCCATTTATTTAAAACTTAGGAAAAAAAACTACTGATAAATACGAGTATTTGCCGAAAATAAAAGTAAAGCAGCAAAAGATTCAAGCACTTCAGTACTTTTTTAGGAAAGATTCAAGCACTTTTTTGTTTTGGAAATATTTTGTTCTGAAATTTTTTTTTTTAACTTTCATTTAGAATATACTTTAGAATATTACTTTTTACAAAAATATATATGCTGCGAAACTCTAAGGTAGTAGAAAATTCATTTGATAGATGTAATGTACAATAACTTAGTAATTTATGTTTATTATATGAAACTAATATAAACTAATATATTATGTAATATAGTAAAAACTTATATTTAATAATTTATGTATCATATAATATAAAAATCGACTCAACTTCCACAGTAATCCCAACTTGATCCGATTTGTAAAAAAGTATTTTCTAGTGATAACAAAATTTAAGTTTTTTTAAGTTTAGTATTTTTTTATTTCAAGTAATTTTTAAACCACTTTTTTGAATTTAATTCAATTATGGAATCAGTAGGGGTTTTAATTTTAAAATCTCTGTGAATTGCGATGTTTCTTATAAAATATAATAAGCCGCATAATTTTCTGAGTAATTTGTTTTGAAAGGTATTTAATAATGTAGCTTGATTTTTACAAAAATTACACCAAGCGGGGAACGCATAAGTTAAAATTGGTCTAATGTATGTAATATATATGTAGCGTTTGTTTTTTAAAGACATCTTTGAATAAGGGGCTAGTAGGCATTTAAATTTGTTATGAATTCCATGAGCTTTAGCCAGTATTGATTTTATGTGATCATCCCAATTTAATTTGCTGTTGATTGTCTACCTTAAGTAGGTGGCATGAATAATTATAGGGATTTGAGTTTTGTAAAATGTTAAATTATTTTGGATGGTTTGCATCCTGCTTTTTTTTGTTGTTTTTTTTTTTGAAATTATAATAGGTATGATTTTTGGTCATTGGTCAGTTTGTGCACCAGGCTTCAAAAATATTTATTATGTCTTGAAGTTTATTTATCACCTTATTTGCTGGATTTAACTATTATGCCAGTATCATCTGCAAAAAAGGGAGTAAGGTTATTATGATCACTTTTGTTTATTGGAGAGTCTTGTGTGTACAAGAGATAAAGTACAACTGAAAGCCTCCACTCGGTTTTTTACTGGTAGTCCGATCAAGCCACTGCGAAGGATATCAACTTTCCAAACGAGTCATTTAATACAAAATCTAGTTAAAATAAGAAAGTGGTAGCAAATATATGACTAAAAATTTGTTTTATTTATGAATGTTAGTGGTTTGCCTTATTCACTTGTCCACCACTACAGATTCAATTCTCAAATATATATCATAAATTTCTCTCAATTACTTTTATAAAAGGTTTTGGTTTCATGCGCGCAACAGGTTCACTTTTTAAATAGTCTGCGCAGACTACCGTGTGGAGGCTTTTTGATGTAGGAGGTGATGGTCCAAGGATGCTTCCTTGAGGCACCCCAGCTTTGATGTTACGTCTTGTAGAGAGAATGTAATTCATTTTAATTTTAGATGTTTTATTGTTAAGATATGTTACTAGTAGTAAAATAGTATCACTATTGAAATGCAATTTGATTAATTCGTTGATTAGTCCTGCATGCCAGACTCGATCAAATGCTTTCGTAACATTTAGCCTTAGAAATGCTGAGCATTGTTTATTTCTGATTCCTTGGAGTATGAATTCTATGATTCTTATTAATTGTTTAGTTGTGCAAAGCGTTTTACGAAATCCGAATTGCTCATCAGGTTGTAATTTATCATCAATTCTATTGTAAATAATTCTGTCAAAGATTGTACTTAATGAGGGTAAAAGGCTAATTGGCCTATGGTAATGAAGCATGACTTGGTCTTTAATGGTTAAGTAGTGTAGATTTAGTTATTTTATATTTTTACCCCAGTTGGTTAATCAAAATAGCTGGTAGTTTTTTATAAAATTGTGTGGAGAGAATATTAAACTGCTATTATTATTTTCTTCTTTATTTTTGCAGATTGAAAAAGAAAGTTGCAGCTACTGATTTGGAAAAACTGGTAAATGATAGAGGAACAGAGACTATTTCAGTTCAACAATAACAATAAAAAATATTACATTTTGAAATTTGCTTTCTATTCTTGGACGATAGCTGCTAAAAGATGTTTTTTTTTCGAGGGTCATCATTATCCTGGAACAAGAAGTAAAGAACTGCACGCTTCTGAAGAATATTTCAAAGCTCGCTGCTTTACTTTCCAATTTAGTAATAAATAAAAAAATATCTATTTTTTGTCTGAAAAATTGGAAAGCTCTATTCAAAACATATTGAATAAGTTAAGCAATGGATTTCCAAACACCTTTTTCTTGATACTTTATCCTCCAATTTCATAATTTTTCCACAACACTAGTAACTCTAGGTTTGAATCTGGAAAAATCAGAATTTCCCAAATACTAGAAACTCGACGTAATTTTTGACAAATATCGTTATGTCATTGGTGCCAACTTATACGTATTTAATTAGTGATCGGTAAAACTACCTTATTTTTGTTCCTTTACTACAACTACTTTGTTGCAAATGTAGTAACCAACGACTACTTTTCGTAATAACTACAAATTACTTTGGAATTAGTAAATACTTCACGACTTTAAATTGACGATCTTTGCTAGAGAACTTTATTTACACCTATATTCAAAATGGATTTGAGTATGAAATAGGCTTGCGTTAAACAATAAGGAATAATTAAGAATTATTTTTTCATAATTACATAATTCAGTTGGGATTCCAAAAAAAAAACAATTTCGAATTTGTTTAATCAATCTTTAACTTTTTATGCCTTTTTCGGCAGAACATATTAAATTTAAGAAAGGCGAAACTATCAAACGCTTGCAATTTTTTAATTGTTTAATGGTCTTTTATTTCCTCTAGGAAATTAAGTACTACATTGAAAATACGTTTCCTTTGAAAAGGAATTGATTAATGAAGCTAATAAATACCTGTAACCAGTAAAACGCTTAACAAAAATATTTAATTTATGAATTCAAAACTACAATGGAGTAAAAATATATTTTCTTGTAGATTGCATTTGTAAAAACTTTACATGATAAATAATTTATTTAAATTATAATCATATGTTTTCAGTATCATTAAAAATACATTCATTGTGTAATTAATGCTATTTTACACATTTGAAAATAAATTTTTATTTCTTTAAATCTTCAATAAAAAGTAATACTAATAGTTCATTTAAATAGCATATTTTGAGGTGATAGACATGAAAAGGATACAGAGATAAATCATACAGAAGGCTTAAAGAATTGTTTCAGTTTAACCACTTCCCTTATTATTTTGGGTAATAACGCAATCGAATAAATTGCCATTATTCATAATCCCTAGGGAAAAAATATTTGTTTTATTTCGTTTTTCAAAGTAAAAGAAAATATTCTGCTCTGGTTTGCAGTTTTCCAGAACTGGACAAACCTTTTGAAAGATCGAATGCAAGATTACTGTAACCCATTTGATTACCCATATGAAAAAGAATTGTAACAATGNAGGAACCAAATCTAGAACCCGACACTCGANTTTGAGGCATCTCTGTTACAATCGTACCCTGTTACAATTGACCCCACTCTCCCCTACTAAAGAACTTAATTTACACTCTTGTGTAAAATAGATTTGAATGAGAAATTAGCTTACGTCAAACGTAAAGGAATAATTAAGAATTATTTATTCATATTTACATGAGTCAGTTTGTTAATCCAAAACATTTGTTCTTTTAACCTTCAATTTTTCGAATAAAACTATCAAATACTTGCAACATTTAAATTGTTATATGCGCCTTTATTTCTTCTAAGAAATTGAGTACAAGGAAAATGCGTTTCCTTCCTTTGAATAGGCATCAATGTTTCAGGAGTATGCATGTTATTCGCAAGTGAAGAGATTAATAATCTATGTTATTATTAATTCTCTATTTTAGGTAATTGTCCCTAAATATTACGATGATCCCTAAATATCAATATTATGATTATTTATCCTTTTTTCGTAATAGCTAGAGTATATAATAATTATACGTGATTTAAAATACGTAATTTCTATTAACACGTTGAGCGCCGCGTCAACCACCGGTGGCTGACACTGAAATTACATTTAGGCTGCGTCTGCCACCGTTTGCTGACACTGAGCTTTCACATAGGCAGCGAAAAGCAGCTGGCTGACAGCGTACAACATGATATAGAACTATAAAATTTACACGCTTTTATGGAATTGCAGGAAATGTATTCGAAATTTACTTAATTATTGTGATTCTTGGCTTAATAAATTCAAGTTAGTAGATTTTTATCCACCACTATTTTTTAGACAGTTCGTAGTGTTGTGTCACAACAACCAGAAATAAGACGTGAGTTGTACCAAACAATTTATTTAAACATTCACACGAACAATCACAAAATATTACCCAAAGAAATATCTCTTCTTAGAAAAAAAACTCTCTTCTCAACTACACAAAAAAAGAACATCACTTCTCGTGTGTGTCTCTCAAGCAACATCATTTTTGCATTACCTCTCGAGGAATTGATGCTTTTAGCTCAGTTGTCACACACTGTTACGTTACAGTCTAACTCCTCCCTTCCACAGAGTTTTCTTTGCAAGAGTAGGAAATGGCAAAAAAACTTACATAAAATTTTGTCAAAACTGATTTATATAGGCTGACATAAAACTGTTTTGTTTATCTGTATATAGGAAAATAAAAGTTAACAACAGGCTCAAATTGATGTGCCCAAATGACTAAGTTAGTCGGCTCAAACTATCAGCATTGATATGCATAGTTCCAGGTTTATGTATAACGTCGAAGTTCAAATGCTGCAAGGATAATGCCCATCGTAATAGTCGGGAATTGATTCCAGTGTTTTGTTTAAGCCATACTAAAGGATTATGATCTGTTTGAATTATAAATTTGTGAGGACCATCTATATAGCACTTTAACTTCTTGACAGCAAATATAATTGCCAAACATTCTACGGTACTGTACCTACTTTCAGCTTCACTGAATTTTCTACTTAAATATAGTATGGGATGTTCTTCTCCTCTATCATTGATTTGCGATAATACTACACCCAATCCAAGGTTTGAGGCATCACACTGTACTATAAAGGGTTTATCAAAATCAGGACTGTACGGAACGGGGCTCTCAGATAACTTCGATTTCAGGGTTATGAAAGCCTTTTGACAATCGTCATTCCAAAGTATAGACTCCTTCTTAGATTTTCCTTTCAATAAATCCGTTATTGGGTTTGAGATTAAGGAAAACTCTGGAATATATTTACGATAATATCCAGCAAGTCCCAAGAAAGCCCGCACTTCACTCTTGGTTTTTGGCACAGGGAAGTCTTCAACAGTTTTTACCTTGAGTTCTCCTGGACTTCTTTGTCCTTGTCCCACTTGATGGCCTAGATATTTTACATAGAATTGTGCAAATTTACATTTAGATGGCTTAATCTTTAAATTGGCGTCTTGAATTCTTTCCAATGCGGTGTTGAGATGAATAATATGTTCATCCCAAGTGTTCGAGAAAATGGCGACGTCATCGAGGTATGGAAGAGCGTAATTTTCACATCCTTTTAGTATTTCGGCCATTAGTTTACTAAAATAAAAAGGTGCATTCTTTAATCCAAAAGCCATTCTTAGTGGTCTAAAGGATCCAAAAGAAGTAACAAATGCAGCATATCGTTGAGCTCTTTTACTCAAAGGCAGCTGCCAATATCCTCTGGTCATATCGATTAAGC